ATTTGACAAGGTGCCTCATGATATTCTTGTAAAGAAGCTGGTAAAATGCGGTATTGACTATGCTACCACTCAGTGGATTTGTAACTGGCTGACTGACCGAACCCAAAGGGTGCTCATCAATGGTTCCTCTTCATCCTGGAGAAGAGTGACTAGTGGGGTGCCACAGGGTTCTGTCTTGGGCCCGGTCTTATTCAACATCCTTATCAACGACTTGGATGATGGACTCAAGGGCATCCTGATCAAATTTGCAGATGACACCAAACTGGGAGGGGTGGCTAACACCCCAGAGGACAGGATCACACTTCAAAACGACCTTGACAGATTAGAGAACTGGGCCAAAACAAACAAGATGAATTTTAACAGGGAGAAATGTAAAGTATTGCACTTGGGCAAAAAAAGGAGAGGCACAAATACAAGATGGGTGACACCTGGCTTGAGAGCAGTACATGTGAAAAAGATCTAGGAGTCTTGGTTGACCACAAACTTGACATGAGCCAACAGTGTGACGTGGCAGCTAAAAAAGCCAATGCAATTCTGGGCTGCATCAATAGGAGTATAGCATCTAGATCAAGGGAAGTAATAGTGCCACTGTATTCTGCTCTGCTCAGACCTCACCTGGAGTACTGTGTCCAGTTCTGGGCACCACAGTTCAAGAAGGACACTGACAAACTGGAACATGTCCAGAGGAGGGCAACCAAAATGGTCAAAGGCCTGGAAACGATGCCTTATGAGGAACGGCTAAGGGAGCTGGGCATGTTTAGCCTGGAGAAGAGGAGGTTAAGGGGTGATATGATAGCCATGTTCAAATATATAAAAGGATGTCACATAGAGGAGGGAGAAAGGTTGTTTTCTGCTGCTCCAGAGAAGCGGACACGGCGCAATGGATCCAAACTGCAAGAAAGAAGATTCCACCTAAACATTAGGAAGAACTTCCTGACAGTAAGAGCTGTTCGACAGTGGAATTTGCTGCCAAGGAGTGTGGTGGAGTCTCCTTCTTTGGAGGTCTTTAAGCAGAGGCTTGACAACCATATGTCAGGAGTGCTCTGATGGTGTTTCCTGCTTGGCAGGGGGTTGGACTCGATGGCCCTTGTGGTCTCTTCCAACTCTATGATTCTATGATTCTATGATTCTAGCTATGCTACCAAGCCAAGCCAGCTTGGCAGGGCTAGCCGGATGGACCATTATCAAAGGAGGGGGCCCATCCAGGAAACTACCAGAGGGCAAGACTGCCAGGCAAGGGGGAGTGGGACCCCCAGCAATCTTAGTCCTCTCTCTCTGTCTCCTCCCCTAAAATCTGCAGCTTCTTTGCCCTGTCTTTGGAGATGTTGGGCAAAAATGTACGGGCCGTGGCTTTGTTGGAGCACCCCTTAAGCAACATGGGAGAGTAACAACAGGCATTCCAAGAGAGAATCATAGAATTGTCAAGTTTGAAGAGGCCCTGAGGATCACCTGGTCCACCCCCTGCAATGGAGGAACAGGCAGCTGTCCCTTGTGGGGATGGAACCTGCAACCTTGGCGTTATCTGCACCAAGCTCTAACCAGCTGAACTATCAAAGATAGAAGGTTCGATGGAATCTGCTTTCTCTTCTTTACATATATATCAAGCGTGTGTAAAGTTTTTTCTTTCCTCCCAGCACTCAAGAGCCAGTGTGAATGGAGGTATATTACAGCTCAGAAATCTGTGGAATATTGTTAAATGTACTTGTTAAAGTATGGAAATCAATATACAATGATAATAGCTGATTATCTGTGACTGGATTGTTTGTTTGTAGTTGTGAATTATTATTGTTATCTCAAAACAATCAAAAATATTGCAACACAAATAAACAAACAAACAAACCCAAACCCAAACCCTTTCTTTCTTGCACAGCTACTGCCTTTGTCATGCTTCTCTTTCTCAGTTAAGCGTGCGTGTGCATCCACACACACACCTTTGCTCCCTCCCTTTAGCTGGGGTGGGGAAAATCACATTTTCCATTCAAAATATGCCAGGTATATCTCCTACTATTTCCTAGCCAGCATGAACCACGAGCATTCCGTGGAGGAATCCCAAAGGTGTCCCAGCATTGCTTCTTGGTAAACATGTTAAGTGATATTCCTCTCCACAGCAATGAGTTGGTGTATGCATATCTTGTCACAATATATGCATACAGGATGGCATCCCTTGTTGAAACCTCTCCTGGGTAAGATTATAAGATACCGTATTTTTTGCTCCATAAGATACACTTTTTTCCTCTTAAAATCTAAGGGAAAATGTCTGTGTGTCTTATGGAGCAAATGTGTGATCCCTGGGGCTGGGGGAGGGGACCCGGGCTTCCCCTGCCAGCCCCACAAGCTGCTGAGCAGCTCTGGGTAGCCCGCAAAGCCTCTGCAGGGCAGCGGGGAGCCTTCATCCCGCTGCCCTGAGGAGGCTTCGCGTGTCTATCCCTGGCTTTTGTGGGAGGTGGGGGAAGGGACAGAATGAGGCTCTCTCACTTCCCCCACCCCCCGCAAAAGCCCCCAAGAGCCGCATATTTTTTTTCTTGAATTCCCCTCCAAAAAAGTAGGTGCGCCTTATGGAGCGAGAAATACTGTAACTCATGATCTGCTCAAGAGAGGCATAGGGATAGTGCTGCAAATGTTTACTGAAAGGGCCCGGGAAAGTAGACAGGGTCTATGCCAGAAAGGAGCTTCCTCTGACTTCTTCTCTGAAACAATTGCCAAAACCATTTTATTTAGAGTTGGTTCAATGATTTATTTGTTTATTGTCTATTCCTGTTTGCTTTATTTATGCAGTGTGTATAAAATTGTCTTGTTATGGCTTGGGTTAGTTTTCGACAAATAGATTGATTTTTTCTTTTATCATATTATCTGAAAAACAATCAATAATGCTTCATTCGGATGAGCTTTGATTCCTTTGCAAGATGGAGTTGTAATACCAATAGGTTAAAGGAACAATATTAAATTTCACACACACACAAGTGAAGCAGCTTTGTGGAGTGGCAGAGTTACTACTGCATCCACAGCCCTGCCACTCACGGTAGAAGGGGCGGAGGGAAACAAACCGGTCCTGGATTGGGCCTCATGCTCTTATGCTCTTATGGCAGTGATACTGGCCCAAGAGCCCGAGAATCCCAGGCCAGCTCAGCCCTCTGATCAGAACACCCAGTTCCAGGGCTTTCTTCCCGCCTGCACATTTGGAGGGCAAAAGGGGGAGGTAAGTTTGGACAGGAGAACTGGGAGGAGGGACAATTTAACACCCACTCCAGCCAGGTGTGAAAAAGGTCCCCTGGACAGTTAAGTCCAGTCAAAGGCAACTATGGGGTTGTGGCACTCATCTCGCTTTCAGTCTGAGGGAGCAGGTGTTTGTCCACAGACATCTTTCCGGGTCATGTGACCAGCAGGACTAAACCGCTTCTGGTGCAATGGAACACCGTGACAGAAACCAGAGTGCACGGAAACACCATTTACCTTCCCACCACAGCAGTACCTATTTATCTACTTGCGCTTGTGTGCTTTTGAACTGCTAGGTTGGCAGGAGCTGGGACAAAGCAATGAGAGCTCACTCCGTAGCGGGGATTCAAACTGCCAACCTTCTAATCAGCAAGCCCAAGAGGCTCAGTGGTTTAGACCACAGCGCCACCCGGAGGGGGCTGGAGGGCTCTGCCCCTCTGTTTTCAGACTGGTGTCTTTGGGAAAGCTGACAGGAGCTGCAAAGTGTCTGGTTCAGAATGAATCTTCCCTAAGGGAGGAGAGTGAACCATTTCGGAAAGCCCAAATGGGAGCAGGTAGAGCCAGGTAAGAAAAGTGCTGAGGGACATGACAGCAACCCTAAGAGGCTAATGTGCTGTAAAGCCTGTGTGTCATACACCCTGCCCAGGCCTGCATCCTGTGGAGGTCACCTCAGTGCTGCTAACTTCACCTCCAAGGCACACTCCATTGTCTCTCGTGACAGATGGATGCCACAAGATTTGGAGAGAAACACAGTATCTAGGTGTTGACATGCTGACGATAGAAGTCTCTGAGCCAAGATGGGTGAGCAGGGTGCTTGGTGGAGTACTGGAGGTGGTATAGCTCTGAATACCAGTTGCTAGTGAGCCAAGGTTAAAGGAGTGGGATGCTGGGCTCATATCCTGCTTACAAGCAGTTTGAGAACATGATGCTGGCCCAGATGGGCCTTTGGTGTGGTCCAAAGAAACTGACAAAAGAAACTTAAAAGTAGTGAAGATGTTTGTGTTTTACCTTCCTCAGCAACATGGAAAAATTAGGTTTCCAAACAGCTTTACAAGCCAAAGTGGTTGTCCTTAGAATGCTGAGGATAGAGAAGATTCTGCAGGCAAGGCAGGTTGAAAAGCAGACAAGCAATGTATGCATTAAGCTCCCAGTCAAGGCGTGGGAAGCAGCAAACTATTCCATATACACCACCAGAACTTCTCTCTTGCATCGAGTGACTCAGGACTGGATGTTTGTTTTCACTGCCTTCAGTGATAGTCGCCATTCTTCTCCTTAGGAAATAGTATCTTTTCCCAGTGATCTGCAAGGATGACTCCTCCAAGAAATGTTGTACTCTGCTGCTCTCTGGTGATACTAAGTAGGAATAACTGTTCAAATAGCGTTTTGAATTTCCTCCAGTGAGTAATCAGATGTTGTTGCTTAGAGAGGGATGGGAATTAGTTATTATTTTCATTCATTCTACCCCACCTTTGTAAAATAAAATAGTTATGGTAAAGCTGCAATCCTATGCATGCTTATTTGGAAGAGAGTCATCCAGAGCTTCCTTCTAAGGTCATTTCCACACCATACACTTAAAGTGCATGGCTTCCCCAAAAGAATCCATGTGATTGTGGCTCTGGCTTAAATGCATCTGTTTAGGATTAGCCTGTAAATCAGTTTAAATTCCAAGTGTGTCAGCCTCTAAGTTGGGAAGCCCAAAATTATATAATGTCCACACAGAAAAGTACTTGTTATAGTATTGATGCTTGTCAGTTGTTTGCACGCACACACAAAAACACCACCCAAGTAATAATAAACCACTGCTTTACTAAAAAATTTAGAAATACAAATCTTAACATCTGACAAGATTGCATAAGTTACACCTTCTCCCAATCATAGCCTATGTACATATTTACAAAAAAATAAGTTAAACAACACAGAATAAGATAAAAGAAGAGAGTGGCACTGTATACAACATGCTCTTCAGCCTGGCTTAGATGCAAAGAAAAAGCATCCATATCAGATCAAAGGAGTGGGAAAGGGGCTAGTCTACAACTTCAGAGAATGGAGCTTTTAATCCTGGAGTGCCCAAATATTTGCTGGTAGAACAGCTAGACTCCATTAGCACTGGCTTTGCTGCTCCGAGAGGCTTCTATTTTCGTCTGGAAAAGAACAAGAGGCAAACCTGAGTAACAAAGGAGATGCTGCTGGTGTACAGTTTTGGAATACTCAATATCAATACACCTTCTGATACAAAACACAATGCACTTGGAGATCAGTTCCAGAGGCCTTGCTTCCAAATGAGTGTCCTCAGGGAGGAGAGAGGGAGTTTTATAGCAACACGGGCCTAATACAACAGCAGTTCTTTTGCAGTCCAGCCATAGCATTGCATTCCACTGATTTCATGGTGATTCAGTCTTTGGCACCTGAAAATGCACTTCTCTCATCGGAAGAGCTTTCTAGCATCACCTCTCTCATCTTAGTCATTTGCTCCTAACTGCACTTTCTAATCAACTTGTATGAGTGGTGATTTGTTTATAAAATGTTAAATCACCATGTTATATATGTTTCAACAGGTCAAGAAAAGAAAAAAAACACCATATTGAGGTCTCGGTAATTCATGTGTATATTTTATCAATATGAATGAACTTTATTACGTTCACAGACCAGGATAAAAAACAAACAAACATATAAATAAATAAAATAGCAGTTAGGATTTTTTTAACTCATAAATGTTGGAGCAAATAAGGACAAAGAAACAAGCATAGGATAAAACAAGATTAAACATGGATAATGGATGGATAAAAACTGATAATTAAAACAGATAAAAACGAAAAACAAATAAAAACATGCAGTTAAAACAACTGTAAGGGCATAAAAACTAAAAGACTCGCAGTTAAAACAACGATAAGAGGCTGCAGAGTAGAAGCCTCTGAAATAGAGGACACTCACAGCATTAGAAACTGGTGTGCAAATATGGTTAAAACAGACAATTAAAACAATGTACAACAATAAATTTAGACACAATGTGCAACAATAAACTATCCCAGGGAGTTGACTCAGAGTCACCAATGGAACCGAGTTTGGGGATTTTCATGCCGGACTATTTTGAGTTGGGCGATGGTCTGCGTCTACAGATTTGCACACAGAATCTGGCGACCATCCAGGTCTTCTTCTGTTCTTTGCCTAACAGCAAAAGGTCAATTTCTTGCTTTTGCGGGAGGTCAGCGAGCCTCACCAGTAGGGGATCAATGAACTTACTGTGTGCTTCTTCATAAAAGGGACATTTAAAGAACAAGTGTTCTGGGCTTCCTATCTCTCCCAATGGACAGGTGCAAAGTCTCTGGGCATAGGGGACTTTTCTAAAGGCTCCATCCAGGACTGGCGAGGGAAGAGCCGTGCTTCTGGCGAGTGTAAATGCCCTTCTTGCATTTCTAGATACAAGAAAGAAGAGATACGCTGCCGGTGCGGCTATGTATCTCTCGATTTCTCCAATTTTATAGTCGGGGCACCTTGCGCAGTCCTGTTGTCTCTCGGTATCTAATATTCTTTGCCTGACCATGGCTTTTGCCTGGCCCAAGCCCAGACTTAGAAGGGCCTGAGGGGCAAAACCCAGTTTCGGGAGGGTGTTCAGAACTGCAGTCTGCCAGCCTGACTGGAATTGGTCGCAGAGGATCAGTGGGGCTATCCCTCGGGGGAGCAGATTCAATGTCAGCTATTTGTATATTGATGTTAAGCAAATGCTAGCCTCCACTCTCATCATCCCCGTTTCCAATCTCATCCATGCGTTTGAGACACATCTGGGGACTTGCAGGAGAGCTCTAAGAAGTCTAGATTGAACTCTCTCAAGTGGGGAGAAAGCAGAGGAAGGCGGACCCAAAAAGGAACCATACAGGAGTTGTGCCAAAGTTTTGGCCTTGTATAATTTTAGAGCTGCGGGGACCAAGAAGCCCCTTGTGCTCTGAAGAATTTAAGAATACAATTTGCGGTTTTTTCCGCTGAACTCCCGATGAAGTTTATGTGTAGTTTGTTGGTTCCTGAGGCCTGTACCACCATTCCTAGATACTTATAGTTTGTGACTTGTTCTGATTTATGGCCTTGGAGTTCCCAGCTTCTAAGCTTTGGTTTTCCCCCAAAAGCGAGTATCTTGGTCTTTTGATAGTTGATTTTGAGACATTCAGATTCACAGTATGCTGCGAGCTTTCTTAGTGCTCTTTTGAGTCCAATGGGGGTTCTGGATAGAATTACTGCATCATTGGCATATAGCAGGACCGAAATATGCCGATTTGCAAGCTTCGGCGGGTGGAGTTCTGAGTCATTGAGTGCAGATACTAAGTTATTTAGATAGAAATTAAATAGTAGAGGGGCCAATAGGCACCCTTGCCTGACTCCTTTGAAGGTTTTAATTGGGTCCGTTAGGTGTCCTAGGCGGCTGCACCTGACTCTAAGGGCCGTGTTTGCGTGCAGTGCCTGAATTAGGAGCAGGAGCCTTCTATCTATATTGATACCCTGTAGTCTGTCCCAAAGTCTGGTTCTGGAGACTGTATCAAAGGCTGCTTTTAGGTCAACGAAGGCAGCGTATAGTGAGGCCTGCCCTCCTGAGTTGTATTTGTCGATGAGATGTTGTAGCGTTAGGCAGTGATCTGTCATGGACCTTCCGGGTCTGAAGCCCGCTTGTTCTATTGCCAGGATATCTTCATTCTCCAGCCATTCTGTAAACTTATTAAGGAGGTGCTTTGCGTAGAGTTTACTGATCACACTTAAAAGGCTAATCGGCCTATAATTCGCTGGGTCCCCTCTGTTGCCCTTTTTATAGATTGGAACTATTATGGCTGTTCCCCATTCCCTTGGGATGCGGCCGGTGCCATCTATATAGGTGAAGAGGGTGGCTAAGAAAGGTGCCCACCAATCCACCTGTGCTTTTATCATTTCTGGCGTAATGCCGTCTGAGCCTGGGGCTTTGGCCGTTTTCAGTTGGTTTATATATGATTTCACTTCAGTTACTGAAACAGGCGGCCATTTAGCCAGTTGTTCTATATTATAATTCCGTAGTGGAGGTTCAGCGTCCTCGTACAAAGATTGGAAGAATGAGACCCACAGGCTAGGAGGAATTTGTGAGGGTAAGGGGGAAATAGCTTTATGGGTGCCCGAAGCAACCAATTTCCAGAATAGTGTCTGATCTTTTGCTTTTGCCACACTAATTAATTCTAGCCAACATTTTCTGGTATAGGCATTCTTTTGGTGGAGTATTAGGTCTTTATACTCTTTTTTTAGGACACGGACAGCAAGATAGGCTTGATGTCTGACAGAATTTTCGGCTGTCAGGGCGGCTTTGTAAGCATTTTGCAGGGCTTTCTTTGCCTCAAAGCAGGTATAATCAAACCAGGGTTTATTTGATGTTATTGGTTTAGTTGGCCTTTTCTCTGTGGTATTAACAAAATAGGGTTTTAATTGTTGGAGCAGGCTCTCATACTTGGAAACTGGGTCCTCAGGCCTAGGATTATCCCCAAAGTCAGTTAAAATTGTACGGAGTTTTTCAGAGGTTAGAATCTTCTTCAGTTTGGAGTCAAGTGCAGGGGTCCATTTGACTCAGCAACCAGGTTGCTCTAATGCGGTGATCTCTGCAGGGTATACTGTTCTCAGGAAGGGTGACGCGTTTAACGGAGACACCTGGAGGTGCAAAGGGAAATGGTCCCCCTCTATGAATGGGAGCACTTTTAAATTCACTATTTTTGTTAGCAATTCGCTGTCCGCCAACATATAATCAATTGTGCTGGATCTTACCCCAGACATGAATGTATATTCCCCGGGAATGTCGCCCCTTGTGCAACCATTTAGGATATGAAGACTTAGCTGCCTAGAGAATTTGAGGAGGCAGGCTCCAGCAAAATTTGAATGTTGATCCTTTGACTCCCTTGGTAGTTGTAAAGCCTCCGGGCCAAAATCGTCAGGGTACCCTATTTTTTGCCTGTATTTGGTTTCTAAACGGGTCATCAGGACCTAATCTTGTGTTTAGGTCGCCCACCAGCAGGACCTTTGCTCCCGGATAGTCCGTTAGCAGTAACCTGACATAAGAGTCCAGTCTATTCCAGATGCCCTCAATATCGGTTTTTTTGCTTGTTGGGGGGATATAAGCATTGAGAATTAGTAAACTGCAGCTTCCCCAGGATATGAGTAGGGCCATTGCTAGGTGGTCTAGGGGGGACAATTCCTTACAGGTGGCGTTTAGGCAGAGTGAGATTAGGATGCATAACCCCCCCCCTTGAGCCTCCCTGGTCCTCTGCCTGCAACCGCTCTCACTGCATATGTATAGTATCCTTCCAATGATGGGTTTTCAGCCGCCCACGTCTCCTGGAGAGCGATGATATTAAAGTTTTGACGGTAGAAGGGAATGTCTGTAGAATGGGAGAGGCATCTGGACTAGCCGGCAACATTCCAGGAGATGATGTTTAGGGCAGCAGTTGATTCTTGCGTTTTTAGATTCCAGGCTCTCATAGCTGTTTTCTGCCGCTGATTCCTCGGGTCCTTTGAGTTTGGCTTGATTGAGCCACGATGTGGAGGAATGGGGGAGCCTTTTGAGGGGAAGACTAATTTGGGGGTATTAATTTGTCTGTCCAGGCAGTCACCCGCTAAGATCTTATTAATTCCTCTGCATGAATAGCTTCTAGGATTCCCAGGCAGTCCGTGAAGATTGAGCCAATTCCTGGCGCTGGCACTACTAGTTCAACTTGTTGCGATTTGTACTGGGTTGTTGGTGGAGGTGTAGGAAAACCCGTTTCTTCTGGAGACAGATATTGACAAGTTGTCCATTCCTCATTGGTTAAAGGCTTTGATTTGCAATTGATGTAATTAAATTCCATGGGAGGAGGCGGGGCTAGAGGTGGAAGGGACTTCCTTATGGTTGATAATCTTTCAATTAGTGCATCCTGGGAAAGTAGGATCTGCTCGAGGTAGGTTGTTAGGAGTTGTTCATCCTCTGAGGAGAAATCCTTTTCTAGCTTATTTGGTGAGGGCCGGGTTTTGTACAGCCTGCCAGACTGTTTAAGATTGCCAGCCTCTGGGTAGAGCGGCTTACCATTTCCGGCGCTGTTGGATTCTGCACTGCTGGTTTTGGTTTTTGGTCTGACTGGCCTATGTGCTCCTAGAAGTAGTAAAGGGTCTTCGATGTTTTCGAAGAAACAGTGCACAAGCAAGCCAGCCCTCAGGAAATTGTCTTTATTAGAAAGGGTCTGCTTAGTTGGGAGCCCGTCCTTAAAAGTCACGATAGCCCTATTTTGGGCCGTATCATGAGGGACGAATTTTACCTTGATGATATTTTCTGCTGTCACGAGGCCCCTGGTGACTATTCCGATTTTTTGGGGAATATTTAACTTTTCTTTGAGCATATGATGAGTGTCCTCTATTTGTGGGAAGTATTGTGAAGGCAAGTTTGTGATTGTTTAACGTTAGCTTCCAACAAGTCTGTGTTGTTTTATCTTGATCCCTTCTTGTTATGTTAGGGTACACTGGATTTCTTTGTGATGTCAAGAGAAGGGTTGGTTGCATGGGAGCCGGAATTTCCTTTGGCTTTCCTATTTCCCCACTAGAGGGCGGTGTGTGATCTGCTGGGACGTGGGACTTTTCCTCAGAGTGCTTTATTGGCATGCATGAGTTTGTGATTTTCTTTTGGGTTGTAGAAGCAGAGTTCTTTGTTGTTGTATTCTCCAGCAGCTTAAAGAGCTTCTGGAAATTCATTTTTTTAGTCCGGCAGGTCGGCGTTCCCTTTTGGCCTCTCAATTTGATGTTTTTGGTCTTCTTCATTTTTTGTGCTGAGCATTTTCTCTTTAAGGTCGGTTTCTTGGGAGCAAGGGACCCTCCCTCCTGCACTGAATTGTTTCTGTTTGTTTTTTTGTAATCGAGTCCCGGCTTGGTTTCACCTCCATTAGTCCTATTCCCAGATGTCATGTGGGGGAGAGCGACCTCATGGTTCTTAATCAATTCAGTTAGGGTGGTAAGCAGGTTCAAGCTTTCCGAAAGGAAATTTTTAATTGGCTCAAGTTCTTTGCTTATCTGTGTGAAATGAGTTTTGAGTAACTCTTCGAACATCCCTGACAAGTAGAAGATAAAGTTGTCCGGGTACTGTAACCTTAAGCTGTTTGGCCATTTGTCTGTTTCAGTCAGCTCAGTCGCGGGAGGGCATCTTAAATTCTCTCCTGATAGGGAGGAGAGAAGAGGCTCGTTTGACATGGCTTCTGGGCTTTCCAGGAATTTCTCCTGTTCTAAACTTGCTTCAGGTCCCTCTTTGGCTAGCTCAGCTTGTTTTAGTTCTGTTGCCAGGTCAACTCCCTCACCTCCAACGTTAGCTTTTCCCTCCCTTCCAATCCAGGTGTGGTCAATAGACCACTCATGAGAATGGAGGTTTCCTGGATTATTTGCTTCATCAGCCTTGGGATGGAAGTAGGTTGAAATTTTGGCCTGTTTTTTCTTTGGGGGAGTTGTTACAGGTTGTAAAGGTGAAATCCCCAGTTCTTCGCAACATTGTCTTGTAAGTACCATCTTCGTACTCAGAAATAAATGGGGCTATTTTATCCAACCCACAGCTTTATGGGCTTTTCAAGGGAGGAGGTTCAAAGTTGATTTAAGTAGCTTTGAAAGGAAGGGGAGGTTTAAAAGTCCACCCGACAGCTCCCGGAGTCCTTTACTGATAAAAGTTGGCAGATATTTTCAAAGGTTGAGCCTTTTTATCAGGGTAATTTGATCATTAGAGCTCCTACTCACTCAGCAGAGACTCAGTTGAGACTTGACCCGGCACCATCTTCCCCGGACTCTCTATTTTATCAGTAATTTTAATAACTATTTTGTTTGGTTAAGATGATAAAACAAAAATCTATTCGTGTGGTACATAGTCTTAAATACTGTCAGCTTAGTCATTGTTTATTTACAAGCTGTAGTGCAAGAGGCAAAGAGGTAAAACTCACCTCTCCTGCAGGAGGCTTGACTGACACCTCAGGAACTGGTAATTTCTCTGTTGGCTGCAATATAAATTCTTCACTCTTCAAGAGAAGAAAGAGAAATAAGGTCAGAGAACTGGTTTGTAGGCCAAGATTCCGAAGGAAAAAATAGAACGATGAACCCAAGCCATTTTGTTGCGAGAGCCCTGGTGTTCTTCAAGAAAGAAATGCTACTACACCATGAGGGCAACTGGTGAACACCCTTTTAGTTACTTATGAGCCTAATTATTGGAGAAGCTTTGAGAAAACACCCAAAGAGCACACACCATTTCTCACCTTTCTTTCCTGTACTTTGGGGGCAGAATCCAACAAGGTCTCATGATCCTCATCATCTGTGTCTGCATCACCCTCGGTCTTCAGAGGCTAAAGCAAGAACAGAAAGCTTGGTGTCACCATTTGCTTTCTAGATCTCAGTGAAGCAAGACTGCCTTCACCCTAATTATCTACAGAGGGGAAATGTTAAGGCTTTCCTGCAGTGCTAATTTGGGTTTACAGCACCCGTCTCTGAGACTTGGACCCACAAGAAACAAAGTGTGTCGCTTGGGAATTGTGTGCAGATGCTGTCAGGAAGGAAGAAGTCTGTGAAAGATTTTATGCATCCTGAGATCTGCATTCTTGGGACTCGCCTTGAAGGAAGCAGCAGATACCCATACAGAGGAGGACATTATTGATGCAGGACAAAACACGGGGTTTCCCAAACTGTCTAATTCACTCAGGAGGTGCCATTTCAGTTTTCAGGTGCAGGGGAGGGAGGAGAGATGAGAGTTCAAGAGCCACCTTTCGAACTTCACAGACACGTTCAGGATTAAAGCTGCAATGCTATACTCTCTTGGGAATAAATCTTACTTAGACTTAATGAGACTCTGGGCCAACGGGTACAGGATTCAGCCGCAAGTTAGCTGGACTTCGGTTCCAATGACATCAACAGGAACTAAAAAGTCATGACAAAATTGATTGGTTTCATCAGGACCCAAATTCAACTAACTTAGACTGGACCTAACAAGGTGTGTATTAAGAGCATTTGTTATATTTACTTCTTTATACCTTTTAGCCATAAGTGCTCCTGCGAAATAATCATGTGTAGTCTAAAACTGGGGAAGGAACAGTTCCCCACACCTATTGGTGGGTCTGCCCCTCTTGTAAAAACTCTGCTGCAGTGGTTCTAGGTCATCCCTGTCAGCCTCACAAACCCACTCCTCCTCAGGAAGCCATCAGGTCCATTTCTTGAACACTGCTGCTGTCGATCCTGCTCACCTCAGCTGGATTCACAAGAGGCTTGGGCTTCACCTCTGTCAAATATAAGGCACGAGAAAGTAGCAGCAGAGAAGGGGGAACATTTTCTCTAAGATGTAGATCTAGCCACTGTGTAGCAGAAAGAAACAAGAGAAAGACGGTGTCAGAGAATTTTGATTTAAACTGTGGTGGGGAATTGCATTTTAGTGAGCCTGAAAAATCCATGCGCAAGTGTTGGAGCATGGGCCACCTTCCCACATGGACAAGCAACCTCCCTTTACACAGTTGTTCAGATAGAGGCTGGCATCTCAACTAACATTAGGCAGCCTGCCCATGCTTGCTTTATCTTCTGCCTGATCCATTTCATTCTTAAATTGTTTAAACTGAAAAGCAAATCCTGCAACATCCCTGTGTTCCTTTCCCACAATGCTTTAGAGTAAGAGTTCAAGGCAAAGCAGGCCTCTGCAGAGATGGGGCTGCTGGAGTTTGCCCCGGAATATCCTATGGACTCATGCTGGCCTGAGGTCAAGTCCAACGGAGAGCACACAGCAGCTCACCCAGGGGAAGGGGAGACCTAAAGATGCCAGAGGTTCCTCAACGATATGAAAATATGGGGCTCCACCATTTCAGCATCCACCTGAGGCCCCACACTTTCCTGTAAGCTCCCAGCAGAAAAGGCAGTGGGGACATGTGAAGGCCACCTAGGGATGCTGGAGTGCAAAATTACAAGGCAGCTTAAGCTAGCTTTCAGCTAAGTGGTGGAATTTGGAATTTGAAGCACAGATGTTGAAACCATATCTGTCTTGCTCAAGAGAACTCAGATCCTTCAGCACAGGATCTAATCCTGGTATGCTGAATCTCCTACCAATAATTGCTGACTCATGTGAAATGGTACCCATTTCAGCTCATTTGGGCTCTCACATAATTTGGAACAGGATGTTTAAATATGTAAGACTAAAGTCTGAAAATGGGGAATAGCACTGGGGAAACTAAGTTGATCCAATTGGGATTTAGCCATAAAAGCAGCACTGCTTTCTGTTAGAGACCCTAAGGGTCCTGTTATATCAGATGATGTACTCTGTTATGACATAAGAATAGAAGAAGAACCTAGCTGCTGGACCAGGCCATTGAACACAGCATCTTCTAACAGGGACCAACGAGATGCTATGGGAAGCCTGCAAGCAGCCGTGCTCTCCCCACTCTCCATTCCCTGCCACCCCCTCACTGCCTGCAGGGCCAGCTCCTCTCCTGATTCTGGATGCTGCAGATATCGATGAGTAGATCTCTCCTCCTCCACGAATCTATGGGATAAACTTGGGCTTAAGCTTGTAGTATATTTTGTGCACATCTAGGAGATGCAGGGGGGAAATTATTCAGAATAATGAATGCTGTTCCTGGCAACCTTGAAATTATTAGTTGTGGGGGGTAGCTGACTGTTTTTAAATGTTTTTAGCTTTCTTAATGTTTTGCTTTATTTTAATTCTTTTGCTCCTTTGTTGCTTGCTGCCCTGGGCTCCTTTGGGAGGAAGGGTAGAATATAAATTTAATACAAAAGAGTAATTCTCTTCTCGGAGCTGATTCCCCACCCTCCCTCATCCCCAACCTGCCTGGTTGAGTTGCTCTTTCAGCTGCTCCTCCGTGAGGCCCAAGGACCTCATTCCTCTGGCTCTGCAGGCACTTTGCAGCTCAGACACGCTCAAGCCATTAACACCTTCCTTGGCAATCATCTGCACATAGCAAAGAGAGATCAAATTAGCACCACCTTCTTCTTTTGGAAATCAGGCCACCATCCCTTTCAGCAAGTGGTGACCTCAGAAGGTAACACTCTCTCACTGACACATACTATAGAAACAAACTGAAGCACTAAGAGTAAAACAAAGAGCCTTTTCCTGGCAATGCAGAGGGTTAAACTATTTTTGAAAAGAAAAAAAATATTACACCATTCCATTCATATGCCATGGAATGGAATGGCATACAAAAGATGAACAGGTCAAATACACTGGGAGAGGCTATAGAAAACAGATCTGAAATTTACGACATGTTCTTCACTGAAAGAAAACTATATTAAAATGATGTACTGGTGGTATTTGATCCCAGTAAAATTAGCAAAAATGTATAGAACAAGTACAAACATATGCTGGAAATGTAAAGAAAAAGAAGGTACCTTTTATCATATGTGGTGGACTTGTAGTTAAAACTTTCTGGGAAATTATATATAATGAAATGAAAAAAAAGTTTAAAATAACTTTTGTTAAAAAACCAGAAGCCTTTTTATTAGGAATTATAGGTACCAAAATTCCAAAGGACCAGAAAAAACTGTTCATGTACTTGACAATAGCCGCACGGACGTTAGTAGCCCAGAGATAGAAGGAGAGACAACCCTAACCAGAGAAGAATGGCAAACCAAGTTGATGGACTATTTATAATGTATATACAAGATTATTGTAAGCAGGTTAAAACATTAGCAGGATTTTAAACACTCTTGTAATGTAAGAGAATGTATGGATAACTTAGAAAGATAAAAATATTTGGAGAGGTATTGATATGCAGTTGAAAATAGGATGGGGGGAAGTCAGGAGATTTAGAGAAATCTCAATATTTGGATTCGGAATTGGTTTTGTTATATGTTTATATTCTTGAAAATCAAATATTTTTTTAAAAAAAAATTACACGTGGCCTTTCATTCCAACAACAAATCATAGCTTTGGGTTTATTAGGTTATCGTGCTTCTGTCAATACATCAAAAGTCACCTCTATCCAAGTTTTAGCAATGTGCAAGTTTAAAATCAGCCTACTGATTAAAAATCAAAATCCCTATTTGGTTACGAGTCCTAGTCTTAGTAACTGAAAGCTGTAGTTATGCACAGCTGTGGTTATGCAAGTTTGAAAATTTGTGGCCATAGAAAGTGAGAGAAGAAGCATTATGGAGACACTTTAGCTGATTCAGTCTAGCCAGCACTCAATCACTTTCAGATAAACAATGGGTGTCCCTGATTAACTAACCTAAAAGACCGTACAGGAACTATTTTGGGACTGGGGTGTGAGTTTAATGTTTCTGACTCACAACCAGAGAAGCAGAACCTATGAGTTTGGCACCAAAGTAGTTGTTTAACTTGCTTGAAATGAAAACTTTGTGAAAATGCCATAAGGAACTCTATGTAGCAGTGTGAGTCACTCAAGCCGGAAAACTCTAAGAAACCCCAAGGCAAAGGGCCATGCAGCCAGCTACCTGATGGGGGGGGGAGGGCAAGGGACAGGGGTTTGGGTTTGTTCACTTTTGCTGCAGGAATTCTTCTTGCAAGTAGTAGTAGTAGTAGCAATAATAATAATAATAATTTTTTATACCCTGCCCATCTGGCTGGGTTTCTCCAGCCACTCTGGGCGGCTTCCAGGAAAATCTTAAAAATACAATAATTCATCAAATATTAAAATTTCCCTAAACAGGGCTGCCTTCAGATGTCTTCTAAAAGTCAGATAGTTCTTTATCTCCTTGACATCTGATGGGAGGGCGTTCCATAGGGCAGGTGCCACCACCGAGAAGGCCCTCTGCCTGCTTCCCTGTAACTTCGCTTCTTGCAGTGAGGGAAGGGCCAGAAGGCCCTTGGTGCTGGACCTCAGTGTCTGGGCTGAATGATGGGGGTGGAGACGCTCCTTCAGGTATACTGGGCCGAAGTCGTCTTTGCAACAGATTTTGAAACACAGGGGGTTTTTTTTGCATGTTTATTATTTTTGACTGTTTAACATTTTTAGAATTACTCTGTTTATGTGTTTGAAAGCTATTTTTGTAATGCAGATCAGGCTGGAGCAGGGGTTGGGGGGGAAATTTAGCCGCGGGCCAGTCCACTTTTCCTCAGACCTTGTGGTGGACCGGAGAAGCGGCACCGGGGGGGGGGGGGGAGCTGGAAGAAGAGGCATGGGGGGCAAGAAGTCCTCCTCCCCACCTGCTGCGCATACCTTCCCAGGGGCTGCTGCCGCAGCTTCTTCTCGTGGGGAGGCGGGGTGAGCTCGTCCGCTCTGTTCTCTGGCCCACAGCAGCACCAGGGCAGCAATGGCAGAGGGAAGACGAGTGGCGCAAAAGGGCTTGCTCTGGAGAGGGGGCTGCTTAAAATGGCGCTCAGCCAGCTCAGCCCAGCCCCCTTCCTCCTCTAGGCAGGGCAGGGAGAAGTCAGGAGGCACCACCATCACGGGGGGCGGGGGGGATGGAATGGCGCAGGAATAAAAGTGGCGCAGCCCGAATGAACAGAATCCCCACGCCCATCCACGGACAGTCCGTGGGCCGGATCCTGAAGGCAATTGGGCCTGATCCGGCCCATGGACCTTAGTCTGCCGACCCCTGGGCTGGAGTGTGCACCAAGAAGGAAGCAGGAGACCTGAAGAAACCTTAATGGATTGGGAAAAAGCTTTTACCATGTTGGATTAAAAGTGTAATTGTGTTATGATGATGTTGGTAATGTGTGTTCTAATGCCTTTATTAACCGTTCTGTTTTTTTTTTTTCTAAACAGGAGTTCCATTTGGTTTATCACACATGTGATGTCAGATGTGATTTTCTTAGAGTGGGGGGTAGTGCTATGGGTTTGCAACTATTTCACTTTAGAAGACCTCTGAAGGCAGCCCTGTTTAGGGAAGTTTTAAATGTCTGATGTTTTATCATATCATCATCATCATTAATTCTGTTGGGAGCAGCCCAGAGTGGATGGGGAAACCCAGTCAGATGGGTGGGGTATAAATAAATTATTTTTTATATTATTATTGTTGTTGTTGTTGTTACATGGCCTGTCTTTTTAATTCTCCTGTAAAAACTCTTCCTCGCCATCTAACTTATTCACACCTGCAATATCTGCCTACATCTTGAATCTCTGCCTGCCTTGCCTCTTCCTGCCATTGGCTGAGCTGCTCTGACCTCACATTAAGACTGCATATGGGTGGGAATGAGGTGGCTTCAAGTCTCCTGTCACCGTCATTGGTTGAACTGTTTCAGTATTAGCGGGGCAGCAAACTGCTTAAATGTACCTTGGTGGCAGAGATGATAGAATCACAGAATGGTAGAGTTGGAAGGGACCCCGAGGGTAATCTAGTCCAACCCCTTTCAGTGCAGGAATCTGATGTTATGGCACAGAACCACATTGCCATATCCATTAGAGGGTGACCTTGCAGACATCTGTATTAAATTCCAGCATCCTTGTACAAAGCTTAACTTTTTCAACTTTCTCTGAATACTATAGGTTTTTAAATGAAAGCTTGTTATGTAGACCAACTGAAATATTCTGGAGTCTTAGGATGGCGAGAAAGAAAATAGGCAGCACTTGCTGCTTCCACTACATGAAAGTAATTGGGAGTTCAGACACAGCACTTTGTGTTTACCTTCACAGATTGTGGAAAACATAATCTGTCAGCCCAAAGCACTGAGACTTGGGCATGATTGCACCTTTCAGACTCAGGTATCAGAAGAGAGAAATGACTGGCAGAGAGCTGTTAACATTTTCTTTTTTTTTTTTTGGTCTCTTACTTCATCATCTGTTTTGATAGACCTGAGCTTCATCAAAAGCTGGAAGCGGAGGAGGTTATTAGTGCCAATGGGCTGCAGTTCAAGCAATTTGCAGAGGACCACCAGCTGTGGCCGCTCCAAGTGTTCCAGGGTCAGCTCATCCTCAAATAGCTTTGAAAACCGCACAATCTCCTGGGTGCTGGGCTGCTGGCCACTATGCCGAACCTGTACAAAGCAATGAATAAGATTCCAGCAAGAATGTGTCCTCCTCCTTCTCCTCCCATACATGCTCCACAAACAACTGGAAGTTCTTTCCTTAGTGCACATATAATGTTCAGGACATGGAGAATCTCTTCTCAAAAGGTCCTGAAATTTGGCAAGACCAACAGATACGTTTTATGGAGGCCTTGGGATTACTCAATCTCAAAACATTGTTGGAAGTATAAGCTGAGGAATGTGCTGCTACAGACAGACGCTCGATGTGGAATCTATGTACAGTACTGACTTTGAGTGCAACTGATATATTGCACTAAACCCTCAAGTAATGAGTAAAAACAAAAACAAGAAAACAATGTTGGGAAGAGTTTCCTATGCCTAAATAGGAAGACATAGCTTCTATGTGGTCTCCAAAACCTACCTACATTATTGTGGCGAGGGGATTCAAATACTTTCCGCTAGAACAAGGCTGAGGAATCTCCAGCCTGCAGGCCAAATTTGGCCCACAAGACCAATTTTGGGAAGCCATGCCCAGCCGCCCTCAGCCGATGTCACCCGTGATGTCAGGTGGGGATGGGGGTGTAAGCGTGGGGCGTCTGACAGTTCCTTCCTTTGCTGGAGCAAGGCATGCTGCCAGCCAGCCATCAGCTGATGGGCAGTAGAAGTCTGTACCTGCTGAACGTAAGAAGAGAATTGCTTCGTGGCTTCTCCAGTACTGGCTTTGTTTCTTCTGGCCAGCTCTGCGATGGTCTCCTGCAGGAATTTGGCTAGTTCCAACTTTGCACTCAGTTTCTTTCTCTGCTTTTCTTCCTTAATACAAATAATAATAAACATTTGCAGTTATCTAACGATTTCAAATATTCAAAAGCTTTTTCAGTACTTCTTAAAAAGGTAAAGGTAAAAGGACCCCTGACCATTAGGTCCAGTCGTGGCTGAGAACCCTATAAGGCAGGGTCACGGGACAAGAAATAACCTGGGGCCCTAAAGTTGCTGTTGGACTCTAGTTCCCATCAGCCTCAGCCAGCATGGCCAACGGTCAGCGACGATGGGAATTATAGTCTAGTAACATCTGCAAGGCCACAGGTGAGCCTTCTGTGTTGTAAGATATGCCAATATTATCCTTTTGCTCACAGCTAGTCAGTTTCTGTTCCACTGTTATTTTTCATGGCTTAAATTTATAGGAGATAACAAGAGATCAAAGACTTGCTAGAGGTACTACAGTGGTGCCTCGCAAGACGAAGTTAATCCGTTCCACGAGAGTCTTCGTCTAGCGGTTTTTTCGTCTTGCGAAGCAAGCCCATTGACGGATTAGCGCTATTAGCGCTATTAGCGGTTTAGCGGCTATTAAAGGCTTAAAGGCTTAGGGGATTAGCTGCTAAAAGGCTATTAAAGGCTATTAAAGGCTTAGCAGATTAGATAAAGGGGGGGAAAAGCGAAAAAAAAATCTCAAGACTCGCAAGATATTTTCGCCTTGCGAAGCAAGCCCATAGGGGAATTCGTCCTGCGAAGCAACTTCAAAACGGAAAACCCTTTCGTCTAGCGGTTTTTCCGTCTTGCGAGGCATTCGTCTTGCGGGGCACCACTGTACTGTAGGTTCTTAATGAGCATGAATGCTAAAATTGCCTGTGAGATACAGAAGTACAGTTTTCCTGACTGCTGCTTTAACTCCATCAAGGTGCCTGTTCCTCTCTATAGGTGGCAACCATTTTGTGCGCAGGTTCTGTTCCTGGCCCCCACGCGCATTGGTGGAGCACGCATAAACACACCTCATCCCATTCCACCCTCTTGTGTCCAAAGGGAGCTGTGCATTGGTGGGTGTGCATCAACTGAACGTACCAAAATGGTTGCTGCCTATATTTTATTCTATTATTTCATTCCCAAATCCACTGTTGGGCAATACTTTTGTTAGGAGTGAACAAGCTTTTGCATTTTCCCAAACTCTTCATCAGCAAGATGCTACAAAAGGAGGCAGGGGGCTGGATCTTGACGCCATGAAGACTCAGTTCCATTTGGGACTCTATTCTGAGATGTAGATTGCACACCTAGATTGCTAGGTGTTGCAGGTATCAAGTTATGCCTAGGATTCTCATCCCCACTTGTGAAAGCATAATGCCTGGCATTTACCCATATCTGACTTATTATCCTTTTATTCTATCCTTCTTTCAAGAAGCTCAGAGTAGTGTATAGGATCTCCCACTTGTCCATTTTATCCTAAGAATAACCTTGTGGGTTAAGAGAGTGTACGTACAAGTGTGTTCAGCCCAAGGCCAAGAGGATTTGAACTTGGGCCTCTCTATCCCCCTTCATACAGCTTATGGAGACATTGATTCCCATACAGCAAACAGATGCAGCAGAGTTGGAGGCAGACAATTCCTGACACAGTGGCGCCACATCATGCTATGATACGCTGTGGTTGAGGCGAAGGCTGAGCTGCTTTTCATACTGACCTTCTTAGATTCGGTTTCAAAGGTTGAAGGCAGCATCTCAGGAAACAGTTTCAGAAATACAGGTAAGAGGAATTCCATGAAGGGCACAATGATGAACACCAAAAAGGGAACCAGCCGGAAAAGATCAGCAGATGTTCTCATCAGCTGCAGAGGTTAAGACACAAAGCAGAACAACAGAGTCTCTTCCTATGCATTCAACTTGTCAGCAGAGGCCCTGCTCAAAAGAACCAGGAAGGTGACATCAGCAAGGCTAAGTGCCTTTTTGTTGCTCTGGAATTTCAGAGAAGCTTTGCAATGCACTTCCCTACTTGTTTTTAAGATGTCTTTCAAATAATTTTGTTGAGGCAGGATTTTAGTCTCCTATATGGCTGGAGAAATGTTAAGCTAGCTCCCATTTTCTTGTTTATGACACCATCTTTCATTTTGCTAAAGCTATGCTGATATGATTTTAAAATTATAAGCTACACTTCTTTCAGATTTATTTCTTTAAGGCATGGCTAAGCAATCTGAGAAGAAAATGGTGCCTCAAACAGCATCTTCATATAAATATAAGATTGCACAAAATCTTGAAAGCATGAAATGGAAAAAGGAGAGTCTCTCTTTTGCAGGACTTAGATGTACAGAAGCAGTTAAACTGAGTTATCTAGAAGAGAGGACCCTGTGGCTCTCCAAAGGCTGAAGAACTAGAACTCTCATCATGTCTGATGCTTGTTGACATTAATGCAACATAGTAATTCACTTTTGTTGAAAGAAATGTAGCTGCACATTTCTAAATTGAGGTAAATCCACTATTGTTTTTCAATAAAAACTGAAATTTATGTTGTATAACTAAGTTTTCCTGGTTCGTACAAATCAACATACTAAACTGACATATAGCAGCTTTAAAATGCTTTTTATTTCAGTATTGCATGCTTGTCAAACAATGTTTGATTTGCTTAAATACTATGCTTCAAAACCAGTACTAAACTGTTGAGATTTGACTTCTGTGAAAAGGTTCCTTCAAGAATTATAGAACTGGGCTTCAAAGAATAAGCCATCAAAGGTAGGTACATTATTGCAATTCCTAAGCAACATACACTTTTAGGAGCTGAATAAATAATGAAAGTTCTGCCAGTTAAAAATAGGACAATAACATGTATTTAGCCCTGAAGAAGGGGATTTACCTTTTATTCACTTTAAATTAGCAACCTTAAGAGCCACATTGAAACAGAATTTCCCCTTCTACATCTTAAAATATATTTTAAAAAGCAAGCTCAGTTGCTTAGAGCTTGGTGCTGATAACACCAAGGCTGCAGGTTCGATCCCCCTAAGGGACAGCTGCCTATTCCTGCATTGCAGGGGGTTGGACTAGAGGGCCCTCATGGTCCCTTCCAACTCTGAGATTTGTTGTCTATGTCTATCCTTGATCACTGGCCGTGGTCGCTGGGGCTGATGGGAGGGGGTGTCCAACAACATCCGGAGGACCAACGGTTCTTTACTCTGTCCTGCAGGGATTAACTTTGACAGTACACAATATTTTTAAAAAATATTTTTTGAAACTAGTATTTTGTCACAGCAAGCCAAATGCGCAATTTTATTAATGACAAGAAATCACAAATTGAACTGTGCTATAAATTAGCATAATGATTTCAATATGTGCTTTTTTCCTGCACAAGTTAAAAACTCTCAGGCCTGAAAAGCACCACCTCAATGGGCTTATTTCGTTGTGTGGGGAGAGATAACAACATTAACTTAGGATTGTTTACGTAATTGTGCCTTTCCCTGCTCCCCCAGCAAAAGTAGCATCAACCTTTCAGCTGAGTATTTGAGAAAGCAGCTGATCAGAGACCATCTCTCCTAGGCCATGCTGTGTCAGACGGTTTGCTCAGAGGAGCGTGGGAGGGAAGGGTGATCGTCTCCCCTCTTGAAGCAGCAATCCTGAGTTTCCCCCAAGGAGAAAGGTGATGCCTATGACCTGGCCTCAAATACTGGAAACAAGACAGGGAGAGAAGTCATCATCACGTCCTGCACATGAACTCAGAGAGGCATCTGTGTGTGTGTGTGTGTGTGTGTGTGTGTGTGTGCATGCGTGTGTGTAATCCATATTATGTGATTTCCACAATCAGGACATAGCTGACATCCTATGGTACACATAAGGTTGCCAGGAATGACTGCCTCTCTAATTTCTGTGTTATGCCATACTCCCCCCCACATGGCAGCCACTTTGTGAGTGGCACCCCCAAATCTGAAATGTGCCCACTGAGCCAAAAAGTTTGGCAACCTTATCAGACTAGTGAACAAAAATTTGGAACCAGCCCAAAAATCTGATGGTAGGGGCCAGTCAGCTCCAAATATTCATTTGATTGCTTGGTCCAGTGGACGGGACTCCACTGCTGAGTGCTTTCCATTCAATGCTCACCCTTCGCCTTTCCCTCCGAGTGAGAACTTGCCCGTGTAACAGCCTCCACACCATCCTAGCAGCAACTTTTGTGTCAATCCAAAGCAGATGGAATCCATTGTAATAATGTTTTAGTTCATCTATAATCCTCTGGCGTAACGGTATCTTGGCAGTCTCTGTCGCTTGGTCCACTGGAACTTTGGCCAGCTCCGTGTCCTTTGTTACAGTACTTTGGCTAGGCTGAGTTTTGTCCTGAAGCTCTTGGTGCCAGGAAGCTGACGTGTGAAGCATTCGCATGGGCTTAGTTAGCAACTGAGGTAACCTGATGCCCTGCTGCGCACTGAGGAGCAGCTGCTGGCTCTCGGAGTCCTTCAGGTATGTTCGGTTAAGGTGGGAATCCAACAGCTGGGCAAATACAACCGATGGGGAGAACGGGGAGCAGATGGAGTGTACAAGAAGATGAGGTCCCCTGTGAGGGGTAAGAGACAAAACAATAATTGCTGTAACAAAATACCAAAAATACTGGTACTGCCCAAATTTTTGCAGGCCTTTGGCGTCAACTAAAGATGCACTAGTTTGTCCATGCCTGTAGAGAAGGGTGACTGGAATCTGATGGAGCAGTATTCCTCACCTGCTGTATTGTGCAATTTTGTGTGTAGGGGTGTGTGTGAGAGAGTTTATTCTGTACAGCTGTTTTTAAATGTTTTAAGTGTTTTGTAATTGTAGTTTTGTCTGCCTTGTACCTTTATGGGAGAAAGGGCATAGCAGAAATACAAGAACACATCTTTAAAATATTGTGATCAGTACTCATCCCTCTCCTCAGCTTAAGAAGGAAATTGGGTCTTGCCCATGCTGGGTTTCCGAGGTACTTGGAAGCAGAGTAGTCTTTGCTCCTTCTGTGCATCTCTGAAGTCCAGTGCAACAGCAAAGACAAGATCCTGCCCTTATCTGGAATCCTCTATAATGATATTGGGGTTCAGAGGTACACAGAAGCCGAAAGACTCCTTACTGCATCTACAAACCCTTGAAGCTCAGCACAAGATCACGTATGAGCAGTATTGGTGAACGGGCAAATACCTTCATTGGCCCCTGAGTATTCCATTAATCATTCCTGCAACCCAATGTGTTTAATGAGTGGCGCTGTTTCTCACTACGATGACGACACACTTCTTCCAAGCTTTAGGCAACTGAAACAGTGATGTATTATAGTCCACAAAATATTGTCAATAATTAATTTCTTACCTGGACCTAGCTACTGCAAGGAATATGTTACAGCTGTAGAAGGCCATGTTCACCTGGAGTCAGTCTGTTTGGTCTATGGCCTGGCAGAATGAAAAACAACATTTTAAGCTAACATCTGCCTCTTAAAAAGGGAATTCACTCAACTAATGTAGCAGTAAGCAACTTAAAATGGAAGTTCATTAAACAAACTATTCCTTTTCATAGTCTTCAACAGAAGATACTACAACAGGTTAGTAAGCATTCTGTTTGTCACAGACACAGCTTCCATCTGAAATGGTATTTTCAGCCAATATATAGGATCAGGGCTGTTTCGCTCATTGCACATCAAGAAATGTGTTTTCCATGACTTAGTCATAAGGTGGGAAGCCATTACTAACCCATGTTCTTTGATTCTCCCAGCATGAAAAGCGCTCTAGCCCTTTTCCCTAGCCTTGCTTGCTAGGGATGCTCACATAAGATTTTGTTGGAACTCAAAAAGCCCTGCGAGATCTTGCAAGAGCATCCCAAAACTGGTGCGTGGAGAGGACCTTGCCCCTTAGCGAAGCAGAGAGCTTAAAAGCTCTTTTTGCACCAGGTTTCACTGGCACAAAAAAAAGCTTTTAAGCTGTCTGCCTTGCTTTCATTTAACATGTTGAATTTCAACCAGCCGGCCTTCAACTACAGTGGTGCCCCGCAAGACGAATGCCTCGCAAGACGGAAAAACCGCTAGACGAAAGGGTTTTCCGTTTTGAAGTTGCTTCGCAGGACGAATTCCCCTATGGGCTTGCTTCGCAAGACGAAAATACCTTGCGAGTCTTGAGATTTTTTGTTCGCTTTTCCCCCCCTTTATCTAATCTGCTAAGACTTTAATAGCCTTTAATAGCCTTTTAGCAGCTAATCCCCTAAGCCTTTAAGCCTTTAATAGCCGCTAAACCGCTAATAGCGCTAATAGCGCTAATCCGTCAATGGGCTTGCTTCGCAAGACGAAAAAACCGCTAGACGAAGACTCTCGCGGAACGGATTAATTTCGTCTTGCGAGGCACCACTGTATGTATGGTTGAAATCACACAAGTTAAATGCACATAACATGTGATCGTACTGTAATATAGGAGAGGCAGAAGCTCTTTGGCTCTTCAAATGTTTTGGTCTCAAACTCTGATCAGCCGAATCTCAGCAGGGTCAGCACTGATGGGAGCTGTAGCCCAACAATATCTGGAGAGCACCGTGTTGGCTGCCCCTGATCTGTATTGGCATGCTGCACAGTGGTCAAAAACAAAAATGTGATGATTCAAAAAATGAATCGGCCTTCTTAGAAGGTTTTAACAATGTATTTGGATGGCATGCATATCTATGGTATGATAAGGTCAAAGCACATAAAGCATTTAAAAACCACATTGTCAGGAAAGCGCTGTTTAATGTTTGGATAAGATATAAGGATTTGTTAGAAAATAAAACCCCAAGGTGGCTGTCACCAATGGAAGCGAAAGCCTTGAAAAAGCTCAATATGGAGGAGGTCAATTGGCCGAAATATTGGGAAATTTTGGAACAAGATGGAGATAGACTGAAATTGCAGAGCTTTGAAAAACTAAAAAACAAAGTGCGAGACTGGCTTCATTATTTTCAGATAATGGAGGCATTTAAATTGGACAAGAAAATTGGCTTCCAGGTGGAAAGATCAAAGTTAGAAACTGAACTGTTAGAACCCAAAACTAAGAATTTGTCAAGAATGTATAACTTGCTGCTGAAATGGAACACTCAGGATGAAACGGTAAAATCGGCTATGATTAAATGGGCACAAGACGTTGGACACAACATTATGTTTGCTGACTGGGAACAGTTGTGGACCACAGGTATGAAATTTACGGCATGTAATGCCTTAAGAGAGAATATTATGAAAATGATATACAGGTGGTACATAACCCCAGTCAAGCTTGCAAAAATCTATCATTTGCCCGATAACAAATGTTGGAAATGTAAAGAAACTGAAGGTACATTTTTTCACCTTTGGTGGACCTGCCCAAAGATTAAGGCTTTCTGGGAAATGATATATAATGAATTAAAAAAGGTATTTAAATATACCTTTCCTAAGAAACCAGAGGCCTTTCTCTTGGGCATGGTCGGCCAAATGGTGATAAAAAAGGATAGAACTTTCTTTATGTATGCCACAACAGCAGCAAGAATACTTATCGCAAAGTATTGGAAGACACAAGAACTTCCCACGCTGGAGGAATGGCAGATGAAACTGATGGACTATATGGAACTGGCGGAAATGACTGGCAGAATCCGTGACCAGGGAGAAGAGTCGGTGGAGGAAGATTGGAAGAAATTCAAAGACTATCTACAGAAACACTGCAAAATTAAAGAATGCTAGAATGATGTTGGATTGAAAATAAGTGGTTTCCAGCTGTACAGGATTTAAAGTTATAGATAGATTAAGATTAAAGATTAGGATTAAAGAAGTTTAAGGAAATGGAAATTTGGTATTTTAAGAGGTAAAATTTTAATGCTATATTATATTAACGATTAAAGATTGGGATTAAAAAAGTGGAAAAGAAATTGCTGGACAAACAATTTGGACTGGAATACAAAAGAGGGAGGTATGAGGAGGTCCAGAAAGTAAGTAAATTTAAACACGGAAATGAAAAGGTGATTGTGTTTAATTGTTCTGTTTCTTTTTTTCTCTTTCTTGGATTATGTACTGTGTATTGTGTATTTTTTTTATGTGTATTTGTGTTTTTCTTTTTTATGTTTTTCTGTTTAATTTTTTACTGAAAACTTAATAAAAAATTCTTTAAAAAAAACAAACAAAAATGAATCGGCCTTCATTGGTGCTTCATTCCAGCAGTTTGTTATGCTTTAACTCAGCGTTCAAAATTTGCCAGGCACATTTTGCACCTGGCTATCAGCCACTTGCGACCAAGTGAAGCTGCCTGAGCACCAGGATGGCACCTGACATCTCCACCCTCTGGAGGTCCATGCCTGGATCTGGACTGCTTTCACACATTAGCAACACACCCTGTAGAATTCTATCTGTTATATTTTATCTGCACAAGAAGAATGAATTTCAGGAATCAAAAAATCTTATTGAAAAATACGACTTTTGAGCCTTCTGGCTGAAAAATGGTAACTAGGCATTCCTTTTTGGCGACTGAAACCCTGGTTTAAGGAGCCATTTGGCATCTAGCTTGTATATCTGAGTTTGCAACACTGCTTTAATTTTGCCCTGGTTTATGAGTGCATTCTCCTTTTTATCTGTATTGATTTTAAAGTGGCTGCTATATTTTTATGTTGTGAACTGCTCTGAGATGTATGGATGAAGGGTCGCCTGCAAATTTAATCAATAATGTTGTTGCATGCTGCCTTGAGACTGAGAAAGTAGTGTTTTAATTAATAATAAAATTATTTTAAAAACCACCCCAAAAGATGGAACGCACCAGAGACAAGAACAGGACTGAGTTTTAAGGTCAAGTTCAAAATCAACACTTTTTAATATTGTGCAACAACCTAAAGCCCAGGATGCTGACGGGATCTGCCTGAAACCCGCCGCTCGGTTTTCTTCCTGGCCCGCTCTCGTCTGCCCAGCCCGGTCCCTCGGGCCCCCTCTCGCCTCCCGCCAGGACCCCGCTGCCCCACTCCCGCGGCGCACCCGGCCCCCTCTCCCCGCCCGTACACGTGACGCCGCATCCCCACGTACCCTCCTTCTCCAGGGAGCGCCCGCCACGGGCTCCCCTCCCCCCGCTCCGCCACCGGCCGCTTTCGGCCCCAGCGGCCCCCGCGCGCGCGCCCCGGATCCTCTTCTTCTCTCGCGAGCGGATGCCCGCCAATAGGGATGCAGGGCCAGGGTGACGCGCCCGAGCCCACTTCCGGGGCCTTCGCCCGGCATCTCGGAGGAGGAGCCAAGGGCGGAGGGCGAGCTCTCCTGCTGCCCCCTGGCGGCGAGCCCGGCTTCCTGCAGCCCGGGGCGGCCGGGCGCCTTGGCTGGGACTTCCAGGCGGACGGGCATGGCAGGAAAAGAGATTTCTGACTTCCAGCGCGGAAGCGGAACTTTTCCTATCGCTTTGCGCTGCTACAATTGTGTTGTCGCCATTTGCTTCGTTCTGGGGCTTTTAAATCATCGAGATTTTTAATTTTTTTTTTTAAATGATTTTTATTAAGATTTCAGTAAAAGATTAAACAAAACAACATAAAAAAGAAGTACACAAATACACAATACATAATCCAAAGAAGACAAAAAAAAACACAGAGAACAAAAAACAAAAAAGAAACAGAACAATTAAAAACAATATCACCTTTTCATTTCCGTTTTTAAATTTACTTATTTTCTGGACCTCCTCATACCTCCCTCTTTTGTATTCCAGTCCAAATTGTTTGTCCAGCAATTTCTTTTCCACTTTTTTAATCCCAATCTTTAATCTTAATGTAATATAACATTAAAATTTTACCTCTTAAATACCAAATTTCCATTTCCTTAACCTTCTTTAATCCTAATCTTTAATCTTAGTCTATCTATAACTTTAAATCCTGTACAGCTGGAAACCACTTATTTTCAATCCAACATCACTCTAGCATTCTTTAATTTTGCAGTGTTTCTGTAGATAATCTTTAAATTTCTTCCAATCTTCCTCCACCGACTCTTCTCCCTGGTCACGGATTCTGCCAGTCATTTCCGCCAGTTCCATATAGTCCATCAGTTTCATCTGCCATTCCTCCAGCGTGGGAAGTTCTTGTGTCTTCCAATACTTTGCGATGAGTATTCTTGCTGCTGTTGTTGCATACATAAAGAAAGTTCTATCCTTTTTTATCACCATTTGGCCGACCATGCCCAAGAGAAAGGCCTCTGGTTTCTTAGGGAAGGTATATTTAAATACCTTTTTTAGTTCATTATATATCATTTCCCAGAAAGCCTTAATCTTTGGGCACTTCCACCAAAGGTGAAAAAATGTACCTTCAATTTCTTTACATTTCCAACATTTATTATCGGGCAAATGATAGATTTTTGCAAGCTTGACTGGGGTTATGTACCACCTGTATATCATTGTCATAATATTCTCTCTTAAGGCATTACATGCCGTAAATTTCATACCTGTGGTCCACAACTGTTCCCAGTCAGCAAACATAATGTTATGTCCAAGAGATTTTTAAATTTTGCAGCTTTAACATGTATGTCTTAAGTTTTGTAGAATTTCATTGTTGTAAGCTGCTTTGAGACTAACAAGGTGAAGAGCGAGATAGAATTTATTTAAATAAACAATACACTGTAAATCAGTTACTGCTGCAAATGGTTACTTAATTCGATGGTTGCAGATTGTGCTTTTTGCATTTAATCGCCATTTAATCCCACAGTTTACGGTTTCCCCTCTTTTCTGTTACATCCCTTTGTGGGAGATGCACCTGCCAACTTTGGAGGGCCAAGCTAGATGTGCCTTTAACGTCTCTTTGCAGTTTGCATGCAAGGGCATCGACTGTGGAAGGGGCTGAGAACTCGCAGGATGGCGGTGGTCAGGGGTGGGGAGCTTTAGGTCTTCCCACAAGTTGCTAATCTTGGCACAAGGAGGAAGCCCTCCATTGGCACAAATACAGATTTAAGGTCACATGCAAGCTGGCATTTGAGGATAAAGATTTTCGTCCGGGAAAGCATATGCTATAATAAATGTGTTACTTTTGATGCCGTGTGACTCTCTGTTGTTTTTTCTGCAACTGACTTAACACAGCTACCCCTCAATTGTACGAACCAGGTTATTTGGCCGTTTTCATGCCTGTGTGTGACGGATGGTGACATTTTCCTCTAACAAGGGAATGTGTGATGTCATTTCACTTTACGACACTCCCATTCACCTCCTTGCTTTGCATGACATATTGTAAATTGTCATGGAGACTAGCAGGAGGGTGAAGAAGTGAGCCAAGGAGGGAGCTCTAGCCAAGCCAGTAAGAGGCTTGCTGCTTGCCAACCCTCAATCCAAGCCAGTTGTAGACATCTTTTAGAAACAACTGAGGGTGATCCCATGTTTCGTAGTTGTCCCACCCGTTCAGGTGTTCATGTCTGCACAGAGGTGGCTTCTGACATGTACACGGGAAATTTGTGATGCGTGAAGCAGCCATTAGATAGCCAGTTGGAAGGCATGACTGACGGGGTGACTCCAGCAAGCGGCAAAGTGGTGGTGTGATGTTTTCACCCCGGCTGAATGTGTTTCAGGACGTTCAGCAGACTTTCACATAATTTTGGGTTGAATTGTGAGCCAGACACACAGTGAAGCAACTGCAGAGCTTGTTTCACAACATGGCTACTTGGCTTACTAATCTAAACCAGAGTTGGGAATTCTTTTTGCGTCCCAAGAGCCACATTTCTTTCTGGGCAGCCTGCTGGTGGGTGGAGACAGATGCGAAAGCGGGCAGAGCATTGAATGTACATTTTACCTCTGTACGGTTTCCACATGCACTCAGACATCCTCTTTAAATTCCAGTGAGGGAAGCCAGAGATATTGTAAGAGTTCAAGGATGCATCCCAGCCAGGCAAAAACACTCCAGGAGGGTATGCAGCAAGGCTGGTGAGCGGCCTGGCCAGGACAGTGTCCCTGGGGCCGGATACAAAGACCTGAAGGGCTGCACACAGCCCTCCCTCACGCTTGAGATTGACCAACCTGACCGAACCCAAATAAAAGCATGTGTGAAAGCTGAAGTCCATGTTCCACTGCCCCTACAACTTCCGGAATTTCAGGGTTTCCCCAACCTGAAGAAAACTGGTCTGAAAGGCCGAGGGAAGGCTAAGTTGAGCATAATACTTACTTGGTCAATTTATAGACTGCTTCTAATGTATAAAATATCTCAAAGTACTTGACCATAAGCAGTTAAAGACTCCAAAGCATCCAAGAAATTCAGTACTGGACTCATATACAGATTATATGAATAGAATCAGATCCTATCTGGGCATCTGATGACTTGAATGAGTCCACATGCTTCCAATAGATTCTGCTTGTCCACTTGTAAATAAACCGTATCTTTCAAGGACACCCTTGTGACAAAGCCATGCCCACAACTGCATTGTGAGGTGGGGCAGTTGTATGTACAACTTATATTTTTAGTATGTTTTGGCCACCTCCTTTTCCTCTTAACTCTAACCATGAAAGAATGCCAGTGTCGTGAGCCAGATGCTTGCCTGGGCAAGACAGCAACCAGCTACATCCTTCATATCTCCACAGGATTGGGCAGCTTGTTTTCCTTGCATTTAGCCCTAGGTACAATTACTGTATTTTTTGCTCTATAAGACTCACTTTTTCCCTCCTAAAAAGTAAGGGGAAATGTGTGTGCGTCTTATGGAGCGAATGCAGGCTGCACAGCTATCCCAGAAGCCAGAACAGCAAGAGGGATCGCTGCTTTCACTGCGCAGCAATCCCTCTTGTTGTTCTGGCTTCTGAAATTCAGAATTATTATTTTTTTCCTCCTCCAAAAACTAGGTGCATCTTATGGTCTGGTGCGTCTTATAGAGCGAAAAATACAGTATGTCGTGTAACTCAAAGCTGTTTAGAGCCTTAGATCGCGTGGGAAGCAATCCCTCGAGCTTGGGCTCACTCCAAAGCCCAATGCCAAGTTAAAGAAATTAGATAATTCAGATTAGGATCTAAAAGGGAAAGGAGAACAACACTTTAAGGAAAATTAGGAACTGTTGAAGACATTAGATATCCTACACAAGGAGAGACAGTATTCCTGGATGGTCAAAGGTGGTGGCAAAATGATGCAATGACCATAAGTAGGATGCTTAAGCCTGGGTGGCCTTGACAACCCAATAACATACACTCCCTGATTGATTGATTGATTGATTGATTGATTGATTGCCATCAAGGGACTGAAACATGAAGGCATTGAAAACTATTAGTATGTTAATTCTGGACATTGCTAAAGAGCTATGCATTTTTATCTATTATTTATCCATGCACACTTTCTAGGGATACTTTCCTGGAAAAATAATGAAAGCTTTGAAACTGCCCAGTTTGACTGGTACATGTTACAAAATTTTTTAAAGAGTGCATTTTTGTAAATGAAAAGCTTTTCATGCAAAAATACAGCAGTAGAAAAACATCCCATTATGTTGCCTGTAGCTCAAGCAGATGCATGTTTGCTGAAAATAATCCCACTGAATTCTATGGATTTCACACCTAAGAAAGTGTGCAAAAGGAGATAAATGAGAGTGGAGAAATGCTAAGCAATCGTGTATCTTCTATGTCAACCTAGCTCTGCAAGGAGACCCTTCCAGAAGGAGAACAGAAGGCAATCCTCTATTTGAAGGGCTATCGGGTTCAATTCTGGTTCAAAGATTAAAAAGCCACCTGGCTGGAGCATGTCCTTTAACTCTTGCTTGGATGGAGTGGGGTGTGGGTTGATTTAAAGGTAAGAGTCGCATCTGTGGCCCTACTCAACCTGAAGTGAATGTGGGCTGGAAAAGGTTCCCCACGCCCATGCAGCCTATGCAGTTAATGTCCTCCATGGTCCTATTTTGGGGTAAAAATTGTATATTTTGGTAATGTAAGAGCAGCAGGATGATGAAGGGAAGTCATTCCTAAGACACCCCAACCTATGATTTTAAAATAGAATATTTGCTTTAAAATGCATATTCATATAGTCTGGATTACCCAAGAACACATACAAGCCAAATATATTGTTTATTTGCTTGTGGTTGTGAGAAATAAGGGAAATGTGGAGATCCACATCCAGCCTCTGTTAAGAAAATGATAAAAACCTTTCATCTCTCATAAGAACATGTATCTCGTTTTCCCTGGTACTTGAGTTTTTT